TTGACGTCAAGAAAATAGCGACCGCAGGGGATATGACTTCGGGGCCGCGCTCATCCATGGCAGGCTTGAGATTTTCCTGCTCCATGTAGTAGTCTTCGTCTTCCTCCTCCATGTCACCGAGCGACGAATACACCATGCACCTCAGCCGCGTCCGCTTCCAAACAAGTTCTAAGTCCCAGTCCCTCTGCGAGGACGGACTTTGCGACTGGATCAGGTCATCCTCATCACCTCCGCCAAGGTACTCCCGCAGCTCCTCATCAGCCTGATTAATAGCATCTTTGGCGAGTTTTGGTTTCAAGACTTCGGACACAGCTGGTCGCAGGGCGGCAAGAGTCGTTGCGCGGGAGGCAGACAAAAAGTTGAAGAGGAGCTGGTCGAGGAAGCTATTCACCAATTGCAGCGCGGCCGTCGACACCAAAGCCGTCTCTCCTGCGGGTTCGATTCCATGTTGATCGTACCAGGTATCTGCGTGACTATCGTGATCGTTGGTGACGATCTGAGAAGCGGCCGAGGCGGCAATGAAGGCGGGTTCGGGTGATACGGAGAGAGGAGGCGACATCAGGCCAGCGCTCATAATGGTGGAAGGGCGATCGCTCGAAACGCTCTGGGTGCGCGACCTCGTCTGGAATTGGGGCGAAGAGAGACCAGAAGTTGGCAGCGACACAGCGGCCGGATCAGCACTTGTGTTGGCCATGTTTGCTGGAAGTCCGGGTCTATAAGTCGAGGAAACCAGTACTGCAGGTCTCCTGGGCCCGGGTGAGACCACAGGAGATTAGATTGAGGCGACACAAATATTGGTAAAGGTAGTATTCTCGCGAGCGAATGACGATGGGTCCTTTCAAGTGATCTCGGAAGTATTGACAGGCGTTTGCGACTATTACAGAAATGATAACGCGAAAGGGAAGGCTAGGAGGGTATGACGGATGGCTGCGCAAGTTGAGTTGTTAGCCAAGTTATTTTTTGTCAATCGAGCAGTGGACGGCGATTGCAGAGCTGAAACACCTGGTCCACGTTCGCATGGCAGTGAAGGACCTGGGTGTGATCCACTTGGGGGGTAGAGGTAGACAGAGATTCATGCGTGGTAACCACGTCTTGCAGAACGTGTGGCACTGACGAAGAGACTGTGTCGGGGGTGGGAGTGGGAGTGGAAAATCGGGTGAAATGGTTCGGTACGAAGTATCGGCGTGGCAGAGACGATCAATCCGTATAAGAGCTGAGGAGGTTGCCGTGCAGTCCAGGGGAACGAGGAAGACGCGGTCCTTGGCTCGACCGGGGCGACGAACGGGTGACTGAGTTTCGACGCAGGCAGGCGAACATGGGGGTATGTTGAGTTTGGAGAGGCAGTACAGTATCCGTTGATGGGAACTTTGCTCGATGTGCTGGCCAGGAGACGGCGGCGCGAAGGGCTGGGTGTGCACAGGTGGGTGTGGAAGGACCGGGAAGGTACAGACGAAAGAGACTCGCAACAAACGTACCTGACGCTGAGTGCGACGGTGATGCAAGAAAGTTTCTGTCCGGACAGGTGACGATGATAGCAGGGCGTGTTGGAAGTAGTAGAGGGCCGATTGGTATATGTAGCGATGGTGGATATAAGCTGAGATTCAACAACGAGAGCAGAAAGGTGGTATGGATATCATGCGACCAGCGGAGGGGTGGCCAGCTCGAAACGTAGATGTTGGGGAGAAGAAAGTTGCGGTGGAGGAGGAGGAGAGTCGGAGCTGAGCTGAGCGTTAGGTTGGCAATGGAGAAAAGAAGATGACCAAGGTGAGAAATGAGGTCTGTCTGGGGAGGTGGAGGAGAGAAGAAGCCGGTACAGCAAGCGCGGCAGGTTGAGACTTGGTTGACAGAGAGCGAGAGACTCGAGAGTGGTGCTCGAGAAAGAAAGAGAGTGAGAGAGAGAGAGAAGCCGATGCGCATGAGCCACCAGCCAGACAGACCAAGACAAGCCAAAGAAAACGGACGACGAACTGAGGCCAGGAGGACGAGTTGCGACCAGGACGGAAGAGGAAGTCTTGGGAAGCTTAGTGCAAAGGGTGTATTTTTTTTTTGTGTCGCGCGCCGCCTTGGAGATGGTGGTGTTAGTGCAGGTGGGCAGAGTGCATTGGAAGTGACATAGCCAGTGGAGGCAGGCGTGGCAGGGTAAGTACCTAAGTATCCATACCTGAGCACCTCAGCATACAGTCTGTAGGAAGGTACCTGGCTAAGATTTGATGCTAGGCAATATTTAGATGTTCATTTTGGGCCGGGATAGATGCACCTCAAGACTACGGAGTAATACTGTCTGAACGAATACAGAGTACTTATTATTTGTCGGGTGTGGTTCACATTGTGTGGTCGTGGGTGAATATCGCGGTGTGGGAATCATGAAAGGGCAAAGAACAGGTGGAAGCTCTGGGCAATTCATTTCAATCTGGGCTCTGTTCCCCTCCTCGTGCGGCGTGCGGCGTGCCCCTGAGCTGGAGGTGTGGGAAAAGTGCGGGAGGTGAGGTGAGGCTTGGCTCCTGGAGGACAGACAGTGGAGCGTGGAGTGGTTCCGTCCCTGAGGTGTCGAGATGTGGGCGATGGATGATCCAATGCATCTGAGCACGAGAAAGATGCCCACCACTCAGGTACCAAGCATCTGAGGCAAGCCGAATGTGCTGTGTTCCTCGGGTGGTCAGGTACGGGCTAAGGTAGGTAGGTATATGCATGCATGCATGCAAAGTCCAGGGGTGCAAAAAGCGAGCGAGCGAGCCGTCCTTCCCTTCCCCGTGCGGTGTGCAGCGTGGTCCCCCTCCCCAAGGGACCCAATTGCTTTCGGACGATGGTCAAATGTTTGGGATGGTGGGGCAGAATGCTGCAAAGGAAGGACTCATGGAAAAGAAGGTGAAGACGAAGCGTCAAAAGCCCAAGGTACCTTACCTAAAGTACCTTATCCGGGAAGTGACAACCCGCCGCAGGTGCCTCTTCACTATTCAAAGCTCGGGGCAAGTAAAAAAGTACGTCAGGTAAGGTACATGACACCTCATGGAACCTTCCCGTCCTGTCTTGCTTTGCCTCGACAATCTTGGGCAGGTGGAAAGTGCAAACATCTTTCATACCTCCAACCTTCTCTCTCAAGTCAGGGCAGACAGAACGCGCTCAAGACAAAACTTCAAGAACGGTTACAACAGGTTGTAAAACACCCGCTCGCGTTCTCGATTCTCTACTACCGTGTGTCTCACTGCGAGGCTCAGAGACGTCAGCGGGAGGGAACCAAGACAGGACTAGCGTCTCGCGTCTCCAAGAAAGGTCTCGTCGCGGTCGTTGTCTCCAGCATGATGGGATGGTTTCGGTGACATCTGCTCATTGCCCACTGTCGAGCCCCTTGCAGTGTGGAGGAAGAAATGGAATCAATGGATGACAGGAGGAAGCCTGGAAGTGTTTCCATCCAAGACTTCCCGGCGAAAAGAGGACCCTGGGACCTGCACAAGACTGGGGTGGCTGGCACTCGTCATGATTTATGTACTCAGATGCGAAAGTCAAAGGCCAAATATCTATCCGTATGTGTCCGTGTAAACCACGATAAAAGAGGCTCTGATCCGAATAGGTAAATGAAATGCATCTCTCTTGGCCGGCAATCTGTCTATGTTGTATCATTTTCGTCCTAGCCAGATTCAAATTTGCCTGCGCCTCTTGTTGTGCAACAAGTCTGCGATTATCGAAAATACTTGATGGATTCGTCAACCCCGGGTCCCTGCCCAGGCAATCAAGCACCCCCCCCCCCCCGTGTTGGCCCCTTTTTTGATGTTCCTGGTAGATGAGATATGGACCGGTGACCCGTCGTCGACGAAACAACCATTGCCAGACGGGTATCGGGGTTCCTGTCTCGAAACGATGCCAGATACTACTGACTACGGTGAATCCTCTGCGAGGTCTACCCTTCGAAGCCTTCACACCAATATGCGCGCATACCTAGCTTGTTCGTGCGGATACGGAGCCCACGGTCGAAATCGTCCTAGCGAGAGCGACATTGAACCAACCACCTTGCGGAAAGGGGCAAGGTAAGTCCACGTTGAGATGAGAGAAAGGGAAGGGGGCAAAGGGTAAAAAAAAAGTCTCCGACTGCGAAGAGCCGGACGAATCGGTAGAAAATGAGCTCACGTTGTGCTGGTCTGCTGTTGCAGGGATATAGATGCAAGGTCGCAAACAGAGTGGATTCTTACGGTTTCTCAGTTAATTAGACGCAAAGGGACCCTGACCCTGAACCCTGTCTCTTTCTCGCTCTTGAGTCTTGGCCCTACTCCCCTGCTGCCGCCTGCCGTGCGACATCCTCGTCTTCCGTCTAGACCGTCGGGGTCGTGATCGTGGTCTGCCTTTTATGACAAAGTCAGGTGCCCAGTTGTACGGATACTCGTAGCTATACGTATATATCCCCATCAAACGGGAGCTTCTCGGTCGAAATCGCGCCAGACCTTTGGGTCCGATTTGCACATCATGCCGGCATCCAATAGACTTCAATTCGATAGTCTTGTCCTGGGTCTCGTCTTGTCTGTTCAACGTCAGTCAAACAAACACAACATCACCAACTTGAGTGTCCGCAGAGGGTCGTATCAGTCGCAGCGATCATGAGTCCAGGAAAGAGGTTCCCACCGACAGGTGGAAAGATCCACTTCCACACGCGACGCATCCTGGCGCAGAACAGTGCCAAATACGGAGATTCACGGTCGGACTTACACAGTATACTTTGTGCCAACCTCACGTTGCACCACCAATTCATCTTCCCCGCGGTTAGCGACAAAGAGACGAAGCCATCGCCAGCGATGGTTCCTTCCGTTATTGGTTCCAGAAGCCGAAATGACCATACGTTGGGCGGACGTTACTTCGATGAGTATCAAAGGACAACACGAGGCGTCACATTCCTCTTGTTCCCAGCACCAGTGTCAACACGCCTTAGTGTAGCCGTGTCGTTCCTCAACCGACACGGCAGCCATCACTCTCAAGATTCAACATCCCGAGACATCATCGTCTGCAACTCTGCTTCAATCGCCTCGCATAGCATAACGGCTTGTCGTGGCGTACCAGCTTACTTCCCTCTTGGCTTCTGCCTGCATCTTGAAGCCCCTCTCATCAATGATCTCCATGGCATTCATCAGGCCATCTGGCGGAATGACTCGTTTCTTCTTTCTGGTGTTGACACTGCAGAAGCAAGATTGAGAGTGTTGCATTTTCTTTCTTACTCGTACGCGAGTATGTACATCAAGCCACAAAGCCCACTCTTCGGCCGGGTCTCTCTGCGGCAGGCAGGAAAAAGAAACAACTCATCTACCTAAACCTCAGATTAGCTACCGCACGCAATCCTCCTTGGTTTCCACCATACCGGTCTGCCTCTTCGATGGCGGGGATACAAACTCGGTCAGCAAGCCCAGATCTTGCATCACGTTGCTCATGTACACGTCTTTCGACACATACAGTGCAACCGTCACATCGTCTCGCAGTCTGCGACGTGCCATCGTCCTTCTGCTAAGTGGTCTCCAGCCTGCTTGAAGCGTTTTCAATGGCCCTCTCCAGACTCTCCTGCACCTCTGCGGCCCTATCAGCATGTCTTTCCAGAAATCCGGCCCTTTTGGCTGCTCATGCTGGTGGACTTCGAGACGAGTCCACGGAAACAACTCTTTCCATGAACCTGTCAGCATCGGTTACATCAAGAATAGCCCCGCCAACGTGCAGCCCGCCAGCAAGACTTGCCGGAGCGACGAAACGAAACGAGCGGACAGAGCCGGGTTGTCGCGCATTCCAAACGGGGTCACAGTTCTCAGACCTCTCAATCAAATATCAGGTGAAAGCCAAGACTCAAGAGTCAACGCGAGGATGAAACTCCCGCGGCCGTTCCATGAGCAAACAGAGACCCAGTTCTCTCAGCTGCCTCTCCACTTTCTATTGTCGAGAGCTGATCGCACGCGGCACGCAGCGCGCACAAATGCTTGACTTTTATCATGCCAGATGATGATGGGACGAATAACCCAGCATCGGCGCGCTACTGATGGTTTCTTCACGTCCGAGCTACAAGCTACGTTACCGACATCGGGGTTTAATTGTCAAAGAGTCGAGTCAATCTCGACGCTCCAGCACTGGAAATCGTCACCACGGCCCACTCTGGATGCCAAAGTCGCAATTCCCAATGGGCGCACCATTACCTTCTCGCACAGACAAGGGGCCAGAGGACGACTGACATTCGTCAATCTGAGATGCCAACGATCATGCCGATGAAGCGCGAACCGATGGCAGTCATTGAGGAGCAGAATTACTGCACATCACACACTGTGACCCTTAGGTTGGCGCAATGCTTGGAGACAATCCCACATTTGAGCGTCCAGACACTCCAAAGCTATAACATCTCGGCCAGTCACAGCAGTACACGATGATACTCCGAGACTCTCCATTTCTACACTCTCCACCTACTGGAGCCAGAGCAATCAATCTGCTGGCGTAGTGTACACTACCCCAAAAACCCCCCCAAGTTGCGTCTGATCGAATCAATTAGCGGGGCAAAAGGTGGTGCCAGCTGAACCCCCAGGTTTAGTAGAACGTCGTAGTTCATTAAACTTGGGGCTCTAACCACCAAGCGCCTTGTCAAAGAGACGACGATATGCTACGTCCGCGAGATACGGGGCTTTGCTAGCCCGATAGTCTCAGCTTAGCCTGCACACTGCTATGGATCCATAGTTGGCAGATGCCCAGATAATGACCAACCCAAAAGCCACCGGGCCTTGTCCCGAGCTGCTAGGCTGCGCCTGGACCACAAAGAGGCGCAACATCCGCCGTATCATTTGGCGATCCTTCTTCAAAAGACCGTCCTCCATAGAGACGGTGCCCGGCTATCTGCGTCGGAGGCGTAAGGGTGTATGTATGCCCGGTTGTCAGCTCTCACGAGTCGATAGATCGCCGGCCTGCCGTTCCGTCGCGACAGTCGATGGATCAATGAGCGCCTCTTTGGTGTTCTTTACTGGCTCTTGGCAAACCAATCTGCCTACGACGGAACTTCAGAACACCTCATGGACCTCGTACGATATGCCGTTGTTTGGTCGATAAGCCTCCTGCTTCATGTTCAAGTTACGAGACCGTAGCTAATATGATGCATAGCGCATGTCTTCGGAAAAGTTGTCTGGCACCCGTGCTTTGGCTGGCAAGAATTTAACAATATTCCCTCTGATGATATTTGGGTTGGAGCAAACACTGTGATGCCGTGCTGCAACAACAAAATCTCCAAGAGCGGGTTAAGCAGCTACGGCTATTTTTTCCCGCCTCGTACCATGCATCCACGTCGCTGTCGCACGCCGCGGACGTTAACTTCTTCGGGATGAAATAAGGCTGGCTGTGGACCTGGGGCCTTGGAGTTGGGCGGTTCTGTTCAGCCAACTAGCTTGCAGAAGCTCGCTGCTTGTTTGCGACAGAGTTCCCTAGGGCCGGCGGAATGGAAAGACCGCGGATGAGCGACAGAAGATCGACTCAGCCTGTGAAATATTTGGTTAATGTCTCGCCAGTGAAGGCATCTAGTGGTGGGTAGGCTAAGGGTTGGAGGGTGTGGGCTTGCCATTATCCTTCATGGCGATCTGCATCGGGCAGAAGCCAGTGGCAGCACCATTATCGAGCTTTCGGTACTGGAAGCTATCAACGTCGGCGTGGCATCCCAGGCAGTCTGCGTTTGTTGATCGGAAGACCTCAGCAGTTGAGAAAAGGCGTTTGCTACAGCGCATGTAAGCATCGGCAGAGGCAAACACGCATATATCGACCTAGCTGAGGATTCGGTCTTCGCAAGGGTTGTACTACTCAACATGGTGTCCCGTCTGATCCCTTGCTAAACCGGCAGGCCGTACTTCACAACTACACTCAAGTGTGTCACGGGCATCCGGCCTCCATTCCGCGCCTGCTTCGTCATCAGCCAACGGCGTGTTGTGGGCGCTGCAAACGGAAGCGAGCTCCCCAAGCTATCATCGGTCAGTTCGTTTGCAAACGCCATCCCGACCCAGGCGGCAAGCGACTTGACGTCTCAATGCACGATAACCATGTTTTCGCGTGCGTTAGAGTGGTGGAATTCTCCAGCGAGAGACGAGGATCCCTCGATGGCCATTGCTCTTCGACCATGACCCGATACTGTGCGACCGTCAAAAACTCTAACATCTGGTAGAGTTGGCAACATGGAGATGAGTTCCTGAGGCCAGGCAAACAGAATAGATGGAAAACAAAGACTCGGCGGGATGACGATACTTGGCTTCCGCTCCTACACCCAATCAGCTGCCGTTTCTTTCGGATAAGATCTGGCCGGTACAACCAGTAATAAGCCTCTTGGCGAGTCTTTGTTCCATGCCCTCTCACTCTGACAAGTGGTTCGAGTAACGAGGGTAGGTAACACACGCGGCCTCCATTTTGTGTAATCGCAAGTACCCATCTTTGACTGCGGGGGCACGCATCATCTTCGAGAAACCATCAAAGCTTATGTCACCTGATTTGTGTCCTCGACTTCAGTACTTGGTACCGAGGCTCCGTCGTCAAACTACCCCAGATACCCCTACGCCCAGTCGAAAGCCTCAGCACCAGCAAGCTTTCACACAAGCAAAGCACAGCGTGTTGTGCTCGCAGCTCCCATACTAAGCTCGAACGCCAGTGCTGCGCTAGAACTATCAAACAAAGGATCGTGATAATACAGCTTTGTTTGTTGACTGCTTGCCTGGCATATGGAGCTTGAGCACACAGGCTGACGATGACCGAGCTCACCCCAGTCGCTTTGATCTACAGGCACAGATCCGGCCTTCCTAGATTTCTCGTTCCCAATTACGCCAATATGTTAACAGCAGCACCCAGTCCTCTTTGCTCGTGGTTGGTGATTCTGGCTCACCGTTGCGTTCGCACGGTTTACTGTACGGTATTGCTCGAGATCCATGCTCTGTATCTGGGACCCTTTCTCGATACGTGCGGCGCCGGCAGCTAGTCAACCTGGTCCTTCAATCTATTACATTTGACGCAACTAGTGCAAACTGCATTTATTGGCTCGAGCTCTTAATATTGAACAACGATGGTGCCCGGGTTGTCAGGCAGAAGTAACTGGGTAGAGTTTGGGCAAACACGATCTCCCTTTATGGAATCTTACATCAAAGAAGTACGGAGTACATTTCAGGTTCTATCATCTCCTGTTCAGGTTCGATCGCTTCACGTGGCAATGTGGTACTACGAAAAACTCTAGAAGCAGTATTCTTCGGTCTTCTTTTCCTTCCTCTACCCCTGGTGCCCTGGTCCTTCACCCCGTACCTGCCCGGAATCATGTAAGAAAGAGTGACGAGCCGTCTCATGTCGTGGCCCTCGATTCTCCCGCTCCTCGCCCCGCCTGCTCTTCCCTTCCCTGCCTAGGACCCTGCGGCTATGGAGGGAGAAGAGTAGGAAGACGCCAAAGTCATTGCCTTTATTGCATTAGACTGGAAACCTAAGTGTAAGTAGAACGATGCCCGCCCAAATGAGCTTGTGCGGCGAGTCGTTGATTTTGAGCTGGCCCCTTCGCCGAAACACACCAACGACCGCGATGCCTTGATCCGCTGTCGTGTCAGGCGGGGGCCAGCCAGCCAGTAGAAGTCCACTGCTGAAGGGTTGAGGATAGGTGGCTCTGGTATGTAAGGCAGAGCAGATGCGAGCGGGCTTGCTGCTGCCGAGGACAAGGGCGTGGACGATCTTCGCGGTTATGGTATCACACGTGTTATGTTACTTTTGGAAGCTGCTGCTACGGGTGGGTTGCTGCTTTTTTTCCCTTTTGCGGCGGCTTGAGAAGAGAGCCTCCCTTACCGTTGTTTTCGGCGATATCACAACTTGTTGGTGTAACTTACTCGATTTACGCTGGTGATTTCGGGCGTAGCAAGGCCGAGATCCCACTCGTTCGGAGAACAGGGCGTTCTCGAGAGAGGCATGGCAAGAAAAGGACATTTTCCTTGGAAAACAACTTCCTGGGGGACTGCTTGGCGCACAATATTGTCAATGCTGATGCCACGCAGTACTCTTTGTCTCGAAAGTCTGCTCCGAGCCCTTGATGGAACAAGTCCCTCCGTCAGCAGTGTCCGACGTCAGAGACCCGGGGCTAGCATTATCATCACGGTTATCTAGGGAATGCGTTCTACTCGCCGTATCAGATCCGGACCGAAAGGAGTTGCCAACTCCGTCGCCGCGGACGTCAACGGCCCGGCGAAGGACTTCGGCTAGGAGCGCAACTCTTACTCTCTGGCTCTCATCTTCGTCTTCATCCTTTTCCTCGTCGTCACCTCGCCTCGCTGCACGAGTGTGCGATGGCTGCGGCGGAGGAGACGGCGAGGGCGGGGGCGTAGGCGGCGGAATCGAAAGCGGACACACGCTCTGCTGCTGGGCTTCGCGGCGGCGGCAGACGAGGCACTTGCCCGGTTGGCGGAAGACGCCGGAGCATGAAAGGTCTGGGCATTCTTTGTCACCCCGCGACGAGCCGTCGAGGGAGCGAGAGCGAGAGGTGGATGCTTGTTTGTAGCATGGGTGAGTTATGTGGTGGCCCTGCCAGCAGCCGCAGGCGACGTGGTAGACGTTTTCTGCGAGGCACATTTTGTGAGATGATTCTGTGCTGCGGTGTTTCCCTTGATGGTTGGGCTGTGTTGAGTGGCGAGGATGTTGGCTTACCTTGGTATATCGTCAGATTCGATCAGGAGGTGGACTGGTTCGAGTTGAGATTGGTGATGTGTGTCAATTGCTCTGTAGTGTTATCAAGCTTGGGGGTTTTCGAAGTCTTTGAAGGATGGGTGAGCTTTCGTTGTTCTATCCCTCTTTTCCGTCTCTTGTAAGTTGGGGCTTGGAGGGAAGCCTTGTGATATAGACCCAGGGAAGGGGAGACGCAGACATGCTTCTCGTGAACATGGCATCCGTAGATCTTTGTGATATGTGTTGTTGAAAGTTGAAGTTTACTTTGTTCGAATAAACACAATGGCTCTGATGTTGACGAGAGAAAGAAACTGGCTGAGTGTGTACGGAGGGGACTAGGGAGGACAATGAAGACTCTTCATTTTGAACAAGTTGCTCATTTCGCGCTTGGATGTCTCCCTTTCTGTGTTGGAAGTCGACTGGCTTCAAGCATATGTAAGCTATAATTATATATACACCCACCTCAAGCATCTCAAGACTAACCTCACAAAAGGAGTTGAGTGTTCAACTTAGGAGGTAATTTCGAATACCAGTATTCTTTCCATACGCCTCTGGCTCTGATATGCGAGCCTTACTCTAGTTCCAGGAAGAGGTGGAGAGATAGGCAGCCTTCAACATACCCGCTTTTAGGAGAGAGTCTTTGTTCCGATGAAGGAACTATCAGCTTGTCGAGCGGCTCGGTATAGCCCAGCCTTGGTTATTCGAAAGGGAGGCTTTTGTGCTTGCACGAAGAGGGTTGAGCGGCAACCCTATAGGCTTCCGATTAACAAAGGAATGGCTATTTGACCCAAGTGAAGCAGGTCTTCTAGAGAGAAGCAAATCATGAAGATCAAGCAGAGAGATCGTGCATTAGGTTGTGACGTCGGGATTGGATGGTTCATAAATCTTCAGAATCAATACTTGCTAGTTCTGGATTTACCTTGATCTCTCGACTGATTTACATGCCAAATGCCGCCGAGATTTGCGTAGAAAAGGTGGCAAACGAAAGTCTCATAGTTTCATAATCGTATCTTCATTTCTACACATCTACTCTAAAGTCCGCAACATCATTTCCCCTTTCCAATCTCCATCATCCCCTGTTTATTTCTTCGCAACATCTCGCATCGCACCTAATCAACCAACCTGGCAAGGTGAACACCATCATACAACGGCATCAACCAAGAATCCAGCCTCGGCTCATCATGCACGGCGCTGTTGAACTCGCGCAGCTTATCCACGTCCTCGGATTTCCAGTACGCTGCGCGTTCGCCCTTCTCGCGCTGCACCCACGGGTTCTCGTCCGAGTCGTCGGCGACGATACCGCGGCGGAGGACGTTGTCCGCGACGATGAGGCCGCCCGCACGAAGGAGACGGTTCTTGCCGTCTTTCTGCGATGCGGCGAGGATGGTGGATAGGTAGGATGGGTATCCTGACTTTTGGGCGTCGATGAAGATTAGGTCGTAGGGTTCTGAGGGGTTTAGGGTTGGCAGACTGATTTTGAGTGTTAGTTATGTGGGATGGAGGTGGTCTCTCACAGCCCCTTTAGTGCTACCCATCTTCTTCGTTCTTATCCGACGAACGTTCGGTGGCACTAGAGGGGCCGAAAGAGTAGTAATTCGAGCCTCGGAAGGGAATCTCACGTCTCCAGAGCGTCGCCGACAACGACGGACGCGTTCTTGATGCCGTTGGCGGCCCAGGCCTCCTCGGCTTGCTTTGCGTAGTCTGCGCTGAACTCGAGGCCGGTGACGGTGCCTTCTGGGCCTACGGCGTGGGACCAGACCATGCCGGAGTAGCCTACGTAGACGCCGATTTCGAGGACTATGGAGGGGTGATGTTTTGTTAGCATTGGTTTCTGAGTTTTGAGTTGAGCCGCATGAGAGCCGCGTGTGTCAACCCTTGACTCCTTGGCTCCACGAGAATTGGCCGTGGCTAAGACATGAGGCATTGTAGAGAAGGTTGACAACCCCCTGAATTATTCACCTAGATCTCTCTCATATCTCACTTGAGTTCGGACTATGATTGAGTTGAGTTGAGTTGAGTTGCTTCACAGGAGACACAGCGTCGCAGGCCCAAAAGCGTCCAACAACTCTCAAGCAAACCCACCGCGTCAAACGCCCTCTCCTCTCTCACCCAAACGCAGAAAGAAAGCGGCAAAACGAGAAAAGAGGTCGATATGAAAGAACGCACTTCTCTTGGCCCCAATAAGCTTCGCAATCCAAATGTGGTTCTGCGCCTGAAAATTGCTAATCATCAACATGGACGTCTCGGGCTGCGTCTTGTCAATGTGGTCGTGGTAGGCGATAATGTGCGCGGGCAGGTCGGTGGAGCGGGACTCGGAATACGTCGTCACGTTGCGCGAGACGGACTCGTTTGGGTAGAGGACCGAGACGGAGGACTTCATCTTTTCTTTGTGCTTGGCTGTGTGACTTTTCTGAAGCTATGAAATGGGCGCGGTTTTCTTGGATATTGGAAGAATCAAAGTTGTCTAGTAAGAGTGTTGTCGTTTTGTGAGACGTTATGAGGATGAGGTGAGCTGGTTGATCTGGATCGAGTCAGGTGGATCGCAACGGGACCATTCGTCGGCACTCCTCGTCAAACAAGTGTATGAAGTGCAAAAGTTGTGATTTCCAAACAGAGAAACCAGAATGGTAAAAGAGAGAGAGAGAGCCTGGTGTATTTATGCCAAGTATGAAGTTCCCAAACGACCCCCCTCCCCTCCTCCCCCGCCAAACGTCGCGTTGGCGTCGATTGTTAAGTCATCCTCTCATACCTTAGATGACAAGTGACAACCACGGACATCGTGTCACAACAACCCCGGTCCCATCCCGCGCGCGGAACAGGTGGACATGAAGAGCAAACGTCGCGCCCTAGTTCCGAGAGCTGAAGCAGAGATCGACCCCTCCATTCATCGGTGCGGGTTCCACCCCCACCACTTTCCATCCCCCGCATTCGGAGCAAGATGCCGGTTGTCGAGTGTGGTCAGTAGGTAGCGTCCCCCGGTTGCGCAATCGCCCACACTCACCACCCCCCGCCAGAAGGAATAGAAGACTCCAGTGGCATTCAAAGAATATCCGTACCGGACATAAGTGAGATAGAAGTAACCAGATAACCTGCCTTTTCGGCCGAAGTCGCCATGAAAGCTCGGCTCGGCGATTGGGTGCCTTGATGGAGCACACAAGTCAGTCTGCTTCGTTCGGACTTATTTCTTCAGACGACGAGGCGCTTGGTGGATCTATCTTTACCCAACCAACCGCATCGAACTGCTACAACTTCCACGTCTAGAAATCGTCGGGCCTGACACACGGCACTTTTGGAGAGGAGGGGGGGTTGTAGTTACTTTTGTGAGGTTACTTCGATATCGGCCCTCCGTTTTCGCCGCATTCTTGCCCACTTGGGGAATTGCTACCCTTTTACTTTTTGTACTTTTTTCTTGACAGGTGCTTGTTTTACAGCGGGAGGTTAATCTTGCATTTCGATTTGAGAGAGGGGGAACGGGCAAACATTGCATCTGCCTGCACGACATCATGCATACTTTGGATTAAATCCGTACCGGCCGAAGAAGAAGGGGGAAAAAAAGAGTTGGGATGGAAGGGAAGTTTTTGGAAACGGGTTACAGACGCGCTCGGTGCCGTTGCGGCGTGACTATCTACTGCTTGAGGTACCTTACTCCCGAGGTTCCTTATTTGAGTATCTTACAGACCACACCGCACCATCCCATGACAAATGCCGTTTCTGTTTCGGGAAGGAGGGGCGGTTCCGAGGGACGACTACTACAGCAAGGTGATTCTTCAGTGACATTGTAAAGAACCACATCAAAAACCCAAATTGCTGACTTATCTACGTAACGGCGTTTTGCACTCAACCTTTCTCTTGAACACATACCGTGCTTAATAGCTGCGCGTAACCTGTTTTCTCCTAAGTTCACTTTCTCATCAAGGGCAAATCCAGTCATAAAGTGGTTTCCAAAGTGTTGTATTAAGGCGGGGAACTTTAATGTCTAGTGACCTAATTAACAAAAAACTACACAACTAGAAACAAAAACCCTCCGCGATATATCTAGCACCAAAGAGACGGAGCGACAGGAAGTTACTCCTGACAGAATCAAGTCTTTTGTTGCCCAAAAATCCCACGCCAAGGGCTGATGATTCTCATATGCTCTTCCGCTCAACACTTTCCCCTCCCTTTTCTCTTCAAGAACAACGACCACTGATCTCCATATCATACGCTTTACCTCAGAGGCAGGAGTCTACTTGTTTCCAGTAACTGCTTTCCAGTAGCTACTCTGCAGTGGGTCATACCCCTCACAGGCACCTTTGTAAAAGCGTCTTCCGTTAGTTGATAGAGACACCTAGAGGAAGAAGGCGGCGACCAGGAGAGCACCGGCAAGCGTGAGAGGCGCCTTGACGTAGCTGCCGCCAGCGGTGACGACCGTGGAGGGCTTGCCTCCAGTGGTAGATGGCTGGGTGGGAGGCTGCGCCGGAGTCTGGGCAGGAGGCTGCGCGGGCTGCGTGGGAGGCTGCGTGGGAGGCTGCGCGGGAGGTTGCGCGGGAGGTTGCGCAGGGGGCTGAGCCGGAGGCTGCGAAGGGGGTTGAGAAGGAGGTTGCGCTGGAGGCTGAGAAGGAGGTTGAGAAGGCGGTTGCGCTGGAGGCTGAGAAGGAGGTTGAGAAGGCGGTTGCGCTGGAGGCTGAGCGGGAGGCTGCGAGGGAACAGTGGCAGGCTTGTTCGCAGTGACGGTAGAGTTTTGGTAACGGACTCTGGTGACCGTAGGGCAAGGCGTGCTCGAGGCCTGAGGGGTGACGGGAACAGCCTTCTGCGAAGACGCGACGACAACGACGGAGGCCGAAGACGCAGGCGGCACAGCGCGCTGGGAGGAGACCACGACAACGGGCTTGGAGGAAGATGAAACGGCTTTCTGCGAAGACAGGACAACGACGACGGCAGAGGTGGTGGCCTTGGCGGTCGTGGTGGTCTTGGGCTTCGGGGAAGTCGTCACCTTCTTGGTGGCCGAAGTGCAAGGGGTTGTGGCGTTATGACGGCGGCTGGAGGTTACCACTACCTTGGAAGAGGTCTTGGGCTTGTGGGTGGTTGAGGGCTTCTTCGAGCTGGAGGAAGACTTGCCGGAGGAAGACTTGCCGGAGGAAGACTTGCCGGAGGAAGACTTGCAGGGGGTGGTTGTGGGCTTCTTAGAAGTGGAAGACACACAGGGGGTAGTGGTCTTCTTGGTTGAAGTGCTGCAAGGTGTGGGTGAAGGCTTCTTGGAGGTGGTGCAAGGAGTCGTTGTGGACTTCTTGGAAGTAGAGCAAGGCGTGGACGTTGGCTTCTTAGAGGTCGTGCAAGGAGTGGTGGTAGACTTCTTAGACGTAGAGCAAGGCGTCGTGGTGGGCTTCTTGGAGGTGGTGCAAGGCGTCGTGGTGGGCTTCTTAGACGTAGAGCAAGGCGTCGTGGTGGGCTTCTTGGAGGTGGTGCAAGGCGTCGTGGTGGGCTTCTTAGACGTAGAGCAAGGCGTCGTGGTGGGCTTCTTAGACGTAGAGCACGGAGTAGGCGTGGGCTTCCTGGTGGAAGTGGTGCAAGGGGTAGTCGTGGAGGTGGTCGTGCAAGGCTGGGTGACGGTGACGACCTTTGTGCTCCAAGTCCAGGTCGGCCGGCCGGGGCCGGGCACAAAGACCCGGGACACGGTCGTCTCGAAGATGGTCTGCGGGTCCAGGGGCACGGCGGGGAAGTCGGGCTGCGACGGCTGCCAGCCGGCCGGACGGGTCGAGGTGAACATCTGGGACTGGGCCAGTCCGGAGAGGACGGCAACGGCGATGGCGGTGACCCTCATGATGTCTGAGAAGGGGGGTAAGGTGGGAAATGAGAGAAAATGGTAAAAACGATTGACTGAGAGACGAAGTGAAAGGTTCCCGCCTTCCCTACACGATGACAGTGAGCGAGTGACTGATGAATCGGATGATGAAAGAGGAGAAAGTCTGGAGTCTACTCCTCGACTCGCTTTACTTATAACCGTCGGCCTGGTGGCCTTCGGCGACCTTGATCCTCGATAGTCCTTCATGTCTGCAAGGCTTGTTGAGTATCGGTTGCTCATGATGTCGGAAAGAGAGTTTGGGCCGGATGGAGCAACAATCAGACACCGGGGCTCAACATGAAGTTCGTAGACCTCAGGGTTGTGAAGCCATCGAAGCTTATGCAGAAAGCTTCTCCCACTTGATCCACTTGGGACGTAAGCTCGTCCTCCTTCCTCCAGATTGACGGAGCCAAATATCGATGGCAACAAGTCAAGGTTTTTTCTTCAAGCCACTGGAACCTCTGCGGAATATCTCAAGGCGCCGTTCTGGAGCTAGACAGCCAGGCCAGGTTGCTTGCGAATACGGTCTCCCATGAGAGAAACATTGGTTTTGGCGAGTAAGAGCACTGGAGGGCGCGAGTGGTTGAAGTCTTTTCACGCATTGCCGACACTATTGGCGCTCACTATACGATCTTGATGGGGCAGCTGCATGTTTGAACCTGTGCTTGGAAATTGATGAAAACGCTTGGGTACATATTGGTGGCGGGACCTCTATCGGACCTCTTCCATCATTTGGTCGCCTGCCATTCGCTTTTCGTGATAATTCTGCAGCGCACCGTATACCTTTGGTCATGATACTCGACACCCACAGCTTGTTGACTCCGATGAGCGGCGTTGTGACTCGAAAACGGAAGAGTGGTGATTTGTGCACCTTGACGGAGCTCTCGACGCGGTCGAAAAGCCTTGTGCTTGTGGTCTCCAAGCTCCCCTCAGCATCTGCAGTCTGCAATGCTCAGCTCTGTGTGTTCCGTGTCGGACCATGCTCGCTATGTATGCCTTCTGTCGACTCCATTCTTTCCCACTCTCGGAACACGCTTCCAGAACCTAACGCCATATTGCCGCGCATTTTAGTAATCGGAGTCATTGAACAGACCGAACCGCATCCGGTGGCTCTGCGTAGGTTGTCAGCTTTGAACTTTGTATGTCTTGTGTCAAGAAAGGGGGAAAACATACAAAAGGCAGCTTGGGGATGACAACTGCCAACACAGCCAAGAAGTTGATGCTAAAGTAGGCGAGGTCGTAGTGCGTGTAATGCGTGCTGAGGAGGAACAGCACGATTGGCACGCTGAGCAAAAACTTCTTGGCGGGTGTGTATTGAGCCCCATCGTCGATTTGTTCCCACATGTTCAGGTTATCAAAAGCACCGCCGTTGAACTCGAATGGCACGCCGCGAACGTAATGAAACATGATGTAGGATCCAAACATGTACGAGATATTCGTCAGAGTCCAGGATGTCTCCTGTGACACGCCCGGCATGACATCGTAGAATATCTTCAAGCAAAGGATGAGGACGAAATGGATTGTCCAGGCGCCTGTAGACGGTGATTGTCAGTTCCTGTTTTCCTACCTTCCAATGGGACTAGATGAGCTGGCACGCGACCAAAGCAAAGAGAATGGAAAGGGGCCATGGGATAGCTTCCGATCAGGGAGCTTCGCGCGGGGCTCACCTTTGGCATTGACCCAGTTCGCATTGAGGTTGGGCACGACGGCCTGGTCGCTTATCTGCTCGAGTGTCTCTTGGGGTTCGTAATGGACCTGGAGGATACTGCTAGATCTCCTTCTGCGGGCACCGGGTTCCGCCATTGCTCTGTACGATCCGCTGCCACTTCGCGGAGGATTTGTGGCCGCGTCGTACGAGACGGTGCGAGAGAGGAGGATTGGGGAAGACAGTTTGGCGGTGTTGAAGGGGGCGTTGGGGTGCGAGTTGGGTTTTGTGGGTGGAATGGAAGAGGGGAAAGTCTCTGCGGGCTCTCGGGATCGTCGTCGGCGTCCTCGTGATGCTGGGGTTCGGCGGAGTGATGAATTTGTCGTGTGCTGGCGGCCCCCTTGATGATGTCACGGGGAAAGCGAGCAGCAATTGACGTTACGTTGAGTTTGATGTTGATGCAGGTGTTGTATATAGGAGATGCTGGGACTGAATGTGGTTGAAATTTGATGGAAGCGAGAGTAGAGAAAAAGGTGTCGTCGGGACAGTCGAAGAGAAGCGAGAGCGAGATTCTGGCTGCGAATGTTGGGGATGCCGTCGTCGTAATAGTCTACTTGGCAATGGGATGAAGGAGAGGATGGGACATTTTCCCTTAGATATTCATAGTAGGGTAGCAGCAGCAGCAGCCAGCGGAACGGGGGCACTCAACTGGGGGGTGGAGGGAGGAGGACAAAAAAGAATGGGGCTATTGGACAGTCCCCGACAAGGCCACGGCACAGGGCCTCAGGTGCAGGGCAGCTGCGCGTGCAGGCAATGGGAACCAGGCACAGTGAAGACTCCACTCATCCACTCCTTCCCAGCAAAAGACACGACAGGACAAACTTGAGATTGGGATCCGAGCCGACAGACAGCTACAGACAGCACCAGTTCCCTTCACCTTCCCAGTTCATGGCAGCCAGTGCCAGCCGACACGAGCGTACCGAGAGGAGGACACATTGATGCGGACGACGGGCATGGAGCCCACCCCACCCGGTCAGGGTCGTTCAGGGGACCACCCCAATTTCAGCGGGTACGGGAGACTTGGAGAGGGGGAGTTACATACAGTACAAGCACTGGCAGGTCCTGATGGAAGAAAGAGACGGGAACTGACTGGATGGACGGGACGCAAAGGCTCCGGAACCAAAGGAGGACTGGACGGAATTGGACCTGGACCAGGGACACCTGCGTTCACAGGAGAGAAAACAGAGCGGGAGGCAGGGCAGGCATTCCCGCCTCTGGGAGCCGTAGAAGGTATGTGCGGATGGCATGGGAAGCCCGCCACTATCTCGCTCTCAACTTGCAAAGAGGCTCTTACACCTTATCGCCTTGGCCCAGGAAGCTTTTCCACCAGGTGCGACATGCCCAGCCGGTACACACACCCGACGATATGCTGCTCGATTTGACAACCTTCTCCCTCCCCCACCATCGAAGAAGAAGAAGAAAAGAAGGGACTCTGATCGTTGCATACAGATCCTCCCCCAGCTCTCACATACAGCACACGGCATACGGCATGCGCACAACCCTGCCGAGAGCACGGCTCCACGGCTAGACCAAGCACGAGAAAAGATCGAATACCTACCTGCATTCTCCGTACATACAGCGACGCGTCCCGCGGGAAGGGCATTGATGGCCGACGTGAAGCACAGCCAGCCAGACAGACGGTCAGACTCAGACCCAACATGCCACTGTCCTGCCGCACAGATATCCGTACTGTAAGCTCCCCTGCGTTTCCTGGCCCGGCCAATCGTGTTGCAGGATGGATAGCGCAGGACGGAGGCCGGAGCAGCATGCGGCGTAGGTTCACAGCCGCATTTGCTAGCGAATTGGGGCCAGGAAGGGGTTTCCCTGGCCACATTCAACTAGGAAGATGCCCCTATTTCCGACATTTAGTGACGGCAAATCGGTGGTCAATGGCCATTGGGGAGGATGAGATACAGCAAGCAATGAGCAGACTGGCCAGATGTGGAAGCACTCTCACACCCATCCGGATACAACCGCTGGATCGACCCTATCACACAGGACCGCCTACATACGCGGCATGAACATGCCATCCAGGACTGAAGAGAGGCTAAGCTTTGTTGAGCCGGAAGGAGCACAGCAACAGCAGAGCAGCACGATCATATACGGCCCATGCGTGCCATCTTCTCTTCGCCTCACATCATGACATGGATCACATCACACCTGGGGTTCCCGGCGTCCGGTCATCGTTTCCAGATTTGCGTACGGAGACGGATGGAGGCGCGCAAAGAAGGACGATGGCGGCATGGACCCTCCTCCCCAAGTTGTCGATGCCGTCCCAGATTCCGTATTCTGTACTCCGTACTTGTCTTCCCCAAGACATACGGTGTTGCTCGTTTTCTTCCCACCTTTCCGCTCCTCGATTTGACAAAAGTCATCGTTATCTGAGCTAAATCTGTCGCCCTCGGTCTCCACTAAGCGGGCTGTGCGACAACTTATTGCCTGTAGTGGTTCGTTGCGTTGCGTGGGATGGATGGATAGGCAAGAAAAGGAGACGTGGAATTCCTGGACATCCGGGATATCTCACCGAACCACACAAAGTGCGTCACTGATGGAATGCCAAAGTTTCTTGTCCACATTAGGCCCGACCCCTGGTCACGTCTGCCGATATCGAGCTGTTGCAACACGCATAGGCGCAGACGTTTAGCCAGCTGATGTTGTAGAGATACGTGAATACTAAACTACATTCGAGCCCATTACTCATTGCAGCTTCATACTCGCGGGTAAATTCGTGGCGTGTCTTGCGCCCGGACGACGCGAAGTTCCAACACGCAATGCCGTGGTCACACTTTGGACAGAAAGCAGCAGATTCATGAGACCACGATATGCCCGTTCAAAGGTGTCGCATAATACCATACCTTTCCCATGGGCCATCCATTGAACCCCTCCAACTCTTGCCCCAGTTTGTGTAACTCGTCCGCCTGCCATTGTCGACGCTTGGTCCAGGTGGCAGGTGTGCAGAAAAGTTCTAGCCTCATTTCCGACCACCAGGATCTCATTTCTACTTTCCTCAGTTCTGCGGGTTGCGGATCGGATGTTTGTAATTAGATGAAAATCGATAGGCCCGAGGTGCCAATTCTAGAAGCATTCACTTTCGCTTCCGAGTTTCTGCTTTGCAAAATGACACCGACCAGTCCGACACCGCCTCAGGTGGGCACCGACCTGTAATTAGTGAAGGTCCCAGGTTTGACAGGGCAATCAGTCGGGTCCCCTGGTTAAGCGAGGAGAAAGGGACCTGCCTTACATAATGACTGAGGTGAGAGATGTAAATTGGCACTGTGCCGTGGCCCGCACCTCTGAAAAATCGAACAAACCAAGGCGAGGTGTCAAGGTGTCTACGGAAAGACGGGACCCGGCAGCACAGGTAGTGAAGACCGGCAGGGAGAGTCAGCCGCGGCCAGGTGCAAGAGGTCCGGCGCGTCGGTTTGGCGACACAAACGCGGTTATTCTTCGGCCGGCCGTTTTTTTGTGACGTCTGGTCTGCTGTGGGTACCCGACAAACAACCCTGCATACAATTTTTGATCAGAGGAGACGGCGGTCTTTTCCTGTTGATGCCGAACGACGTCGAGAGATACTGACCGTTGAGGTTTTATCCGTTCCCACTCAAGCACTCCGATCGCTGGATTTGAGCAAGTCTATCCGCCGGCGAGTTCCCAGCGGATCGGAATTAGGGTTTCTAGGTGCGACCGAGCATTGTCATCCTCAGGCAAATCGCGAATTCTCATGACCTTGGAGTTGTGATTCACATTCTCATTTGCCGGACACACGAATGCGAAATATTCCAACTTGGGAAAGACATCACGTTTTCCCGGAGTATTCCAGCACGGCACCCACTCATTTGAACACCTGACCCCTCAAAGTAAGGCATTGGAGAGACGTCGAATTTTGGTACAGCGTGGTATATCTTACAGTACACCGCAGTCACTGAATTTTCACACACCGCCATCAAGCGCTACATCATGGAGACATCAGAGTCAGCAGCACAAGCCGTTCCGGTCCTTAGCACTGGGAACGATGCCAAACGAGTATCGAAGAAGCGGTCGCTGGAAGACGTTGAGCAGGGAGATATGATGCCCAACGGATCACAATCTCATCGGGCCTCATCGCATGAGCCCGAGGCCAAGCGAGCGAGAACGGAGCAAATCGGTCAATCAGTCGAGCAGGATGTGTCAATGGACTCGGAAGGCGCCGATGAGGGCGAGCTGGAGGAAGACGGAGAGGTTCTACCTTCCGAACCCGAATCCGAAGACCAGAGGGTCGTCGCCGCAGAGAGTGGAGGAAACGCCGGATCTCGCACGCGTTCAAAGGCGTCTTCTTCGGGGGAAGAGTCAGATGCAGGCAGCAAACGGACGACCCGTTCAATGTCGGCGGCGGCGAGTGGCCCATCTCAAGTTGGATGGAATCAAGGCATCACGTCCCAGATCCGGACATCACTTGGAGGGCCCAAGACCAAGGCCGCACCGGTGCCGGCCAAGGTCTCTATTACTGAGGAGGAAAGCGCGGCTGCTGCCGCACCTGCATCCGATTCTCAAGAAGCGCCTGCACCGACCGAGGCAGCCGAGCCAGCCCAACCTGCCCAACCGGCATCAAAGGAGCCCAAAATCTCTCGACAGCAGCGAAGAGCCGAAGCCGCCGCTCTCGAGAAAGAAAAGGCACAAAATGAAAAGAGTGCTTTCGTCTATGAGGGTATGACTTTCTTCCAACCCAACAAGAAGACGCTTTTGCAACCAAAGGGAAACAACCTAGGCAGTGGAGTGTGGAGATCCAAGTTTAAGAGCTGGGCCCAGTCATTCATCAGCCGCAATAGCGAGCAGGAGCAGCTGCTCACGCCCGAAATTCTCGTCGCCGCTCTGCAGGACTACATTGCGCATCGGGCGCAGTGGAATAAGAAGAGGCAGTCCCCGGCCGCCACCACCGAGTCACGCAAGCCCGAAACGAGGACTGACATGGCCTCCATCCTGGCGTCGGCTGTGAAGAAGCCTACACGCCAGCTAGGATCGGAAGAGTCGCCCCTGATCATCCACGACGACGAGGACGAGGTCGACGACGACATTCAAAAAGTATCACCTTCCGGTGCCAGACGGGAGTCCAGCGATCAACATTCGGCTACAACACCATCTCAAAATGACGTGGTGGAAGTGGTGGACGACGAGGACGAGGAGATGGAAGAAGAGCAAGGTGAACCTGGACCGGCGATCATGACCGAGGAGGAGGACCTGGAGCAGCAACGAAAGTACTTCCCTGGCCTGGCAGACACCGCCCAGATCTGCGTGTACTGCGCAACTCTCGGACACACCTCGATGGCTTGCCCCAACACTCGTTGCAAGTTCTGCGAACATACCGACCACTTTTCGTGGAACTGCCCTACACGCGAGAGGTGCACTAAGTGTCGCCAGCTCGGCCACGGCAAGACCCAGTGCAAGGAGAAGCTCATTCATCTGGATGAGGAGGGTATGGAGTGTGCCCTATGTGGCTCCCAGGCTCATCAGGAGAACGAGTGCGAGAGAGTCTGGCGCTCATACAAGCCTCCGAGGATGATCAAGAAGGTTAAGCCGTTCCCCGCCTTCTGCGGCTTTTGCGGAAACGAGAGCCACTACTCTTCCGATTGTCATCTGAACCGTGACAGACCGAAAAGCGAAACGTGGACGCTCAAGAACAGACACCTCTACGTCGACAAGAACGCAACCGATGGCCCGATCAGCGACTTCGCTAGTCAGCCCCAGAACCCCAAGTTCGCCCCTCTCTCGATCAAGGGCTCTGCAGCCAAGCGAAACCACATCTTCTACCCCGATAGCGACGGGTCGGAGGAGGGCGAGTTCATCAGTCAGAAGGTGAAGCCGCGTGCTCCACTCGGCAACATCCAGATGTCGACCAACCTCCAGATCAACGCCGGCAACTTTGGACCACCACCGCAGACGCAGTCAAACGGGCGCGGTGGCCAGCAGCGAAATGGGTGGTCAGCGCAGCAGCCTCCCCTCCCTCCAGGACCTCCACCTCCAGGACCGCCACCACAGGGCTCGTACTCGCGAATGTCTGGAAGCCACAACAACCAGTCGCGCCAGCCGGCGAACGGTTTACCCCCCAAGCCCCCAGCACCGCAGTCGCAGCAACACGGGCGAGCAGGACCGAATCCGCCGAAGAAGCAGAGGACAAGGAACCATTCCGGAAACTCCAATGCGGGAGCCGCGCAGCAGCAGCAGAACGGTGGGGGCTCGGCGGCATCGCGCCGAAGGGGCAAGAACAAACGCGGTGGGAAGCAAGGATGAGCGTTTGGAATGATTGGCCAGCGCGCGACGCCGTTGGAAAAAGGGGCGTACAGTACGCTGGACAGGATGGATGGGTGTGTCGCGCGACCGCGAGCAAAGGTGGTCCGAAGTCACGGGAAGAGGCGAGGAACATCATGTACGACAAAAGTGTACGAGTTGCGACAAGAAACTCTCGAAGCGAAATCGGAGGGAAGGAGACTCAGACAGCAGCGTGACGATGCGCGACGGAAATGCGCGACGACAGCCTTGCCTTTATGGTTGGGTGAACGATTATGGACGAAACTGCGCGGCGAGGGCGGAAGGGGGTGGTGGTTAGCTTTACATTTTGCAAGCGGGAAGATGGAGTTGCGTCGGGCCAATCGTTGCGCATGCGCAAGTTGACGTGGACTGATTTCCTGCACACAACAGTATTCCCTATCTCGGAAGTGGATCAGGGTCATTAGGTTGACCGGAAGCCGGGTGCGGGAGACAGTAGGTGTCTTGGAGAGGACTCGGGATCAGTAGATTTCTTAATGAACCCCCCCCGGTTATTCGCACAGAAAGCTGGTGGGTTAGAATTACTACTATTTTGCGTTTTATAAACTTTCGTCGTCGGACCTGGTGTGTTTGACCGGCCTGTGGATGGATTTTACATCTGGATTTTGAATTTTTTTTTTTCCATCACTTGAAGACATGGATTTTGAGTAGCCGAGACCGAAAAGTCTCGTTCTGGGAAACTAACAAGGGATCATGTCGATTTTTGACTCATTGCGAAATGCCACGACATTGGGAAATCATCCCTGGCTGGCCACTTTCGTGGCTGGGGGAGGAAGATTGAATCATTGACGGTGAAGAGGCCGTGTCGTCTAGACGATACTAACCTGCTCTTTACCGCAAGTTGTTTCGGCATGGGATGGACATAGTCAAGGGTTAGAGGAAAGCGATAGGACAGTTTCCGCGCGGCTTGGGGGGGGGGGGGGGGGGGGAGGGAAGATGGGGGGGGGTGGGGGTGGAGGCGACTAGTTAATACTGTCATTCTGTGTTGGGTTGGGGGGGAGGGGGTAGAAGAGGAGGTGAGGGGGGAGGGAGGAGAGAGGGGGGGGGGGGGGGGGGGGGGGGGGGGGGGGGGGTGGCGTAAGAAGAAAAAGGGAAAAAAAAAAAGGATATCGTGGTCTTCTTGTTCCCCGGGGGCGTGTCTATTTTGTTCGTTTTGATGTATGTCGGTAACTTGGTTGAACATGGACGGCGCCTAGGCTTGGTGTATTAGTCACAATGTCGACCACGTCGTAGGCATTGCCTTGGTTTTTGCACCCTTGGGAAACGCTTGGGCTTCAATATAAAAAATTTGTCGTGGACTTGTTGTGTGGACGGACGAGGGTTTTTGACGATTTGTCGGTGTGTGTGCGTGTGTGGTGTGTAAGTGCGTCGTTGCGGACTTGCGGTGCGGTCAGTGTCTGGGGGCTGGGTTAAAGTTGTGGATATGATTTTTTCTTCTTCCTTTTGTTTGAATGTTTGGTTCGTGATGCATGGGTATTTTTTGATGCAGTGGTTTGGTGGATTTTCATAGTGGATATAAGACTAGGAGTTGGGAGACCGGGGATGTTGGGTAGGGGTTATTGGTCTTGGGAGGAAAACGTGGGTTGTGGGTTTTTGATGACGATGGCCTTGTCATTTGGGTATTTGGGCTCTCGAGTCTTGGGTCTTGGGTCTAAGGTCTTGGAAATGTGAGACCGGGGTGTGTTGACGATGGACACCGTGGACCACAGGCCCTCATGGGTTTTGGGAAGAGAAGAGTTCTGTCGCAAAGTTGTGGGATATGTGTTTGGTTCACCGGCGTCGATGGACTCGTTTTGCGATGCTCCGGGACGGCGGGAATGACCAGGAGATGTGCATGACGTGGCTCCAAGGGTCTCTGCTGTCCGTGTCTCTCTTTTACCGCTGGGCTTGGCTGTACCCCTGATCTGATGATGGATGTAGTACGGATAGACATGGGGAGTTTTGAAAGTTCTTGAGTTGAGAGAAAAAAAGCTTGTGGTTTGTCGGCCGGCATGGCATATGGGATTGGTACTGGGTGTGCGGTTCAATGGTAATGAGACCGGTAGCGAAGGGAGGGTGTGGTTTTTTTGATAATGGGGACGATGCAGTCGTGATGTGGACACCAGGTGACGATCAACCAGGGTTGATTTTTTATGGTCTCATGGGTTGTGGTTGTCGGTGTACGTACGGATGGAGTACTGGGGTTGCCTTTAATTTTGGGTGATGGGTGATGGGTGATGGTAGTCTCCAAGGGTTGTTTGTGACTGTGACGGACGGTGTGATGCAAAGTGCTGCGATGCATGGGAGTTGCAAAGGGGAAAGAACAAACGATGCGTTGAGAAGAGTCGAAGCTTTTCAGGGCGGGTTGTTTTGCTGTGCTGTGCTGTGCTGTGTTGTCTGTTGTCCGTTTTGGGGGGAGTATGTTGACTAAAGTACTAAGTTAGGTTGATGTACGGAGTATGCATACATGTAGACTTAGACTTAGACTTGAAGTTGACAAGAGAGATCATGGGACGGATTGTATGCAGGTCAGTGACATTTTGTGGCGGGAGTCTGATAGATGCAGGAAGGGGACCCGGACCCTTGCGCTGTTGCTCAGACCAGACCGTTGACGCGGGCTTGGGATCATGAGGGAGCTGTTTCGAAGAGACTCTACGTAATTAGTAAGGTGCCCCGAGTTCTTGAGCTTGAGTTGTGGTCTGCAGTCTGTGGTCTGTATCTTTGTTGTGGGTGGTGGTAGTGGTGGTGGTGTTTCGACCTGTAGTTATGTCAGCCCCATTTTGTTCTATGGTAAAGAGGTCGATTTGGGGTAATGGTTGTGTGCTTCAATCTGGAGACAGCCGAGCCAATTCAAGAGTGCCTTGCCGGCCTGTGGACGAATTGCTGTGGAGTCGTTGGATACTGCATGAGCCATGAGCCACGAGAAGGCTGGCCGGGTGGCCGGGCTACGTCAACCTCCAACCTGGAATTGGAGTTTCGTGGGAAGCGTCTGGCAGAAGGAAAGGATGGGATGTGCCGGTTGATGTCCGAACCCGCAAATGCGCAAACAAATTGTGGGGGTTTCGCATGGGTCGCCGAGTGGACAGACGAACCTTTTGGACGACGTCTCTCACCGCGTGGGATTCGTTCGGTTCTTTCAGTTATTCCTAGGATAAAAGACCAAGGTGATTGGTCAGATTTCAAGCTGGCGACGGTTTCCCGTCTGATCCGCGGTTGATTCGCGGACGAGAGCATTTGCGCGACGGTCCTCACTGGTCAATGGGCGAACGTATGCAGAATGCGGTGGATCGTTGAGAGAGAGAAGAGTCATAACTCTCATCCATCGGCCGTGGCATGCATGGGGGTGTGGTCGAGGGTAGGAGCGGACGACGACGCTAGGTACTGTATCCGCAGACGTACTGCAGCAGCGGAAGTGGACTATGCGCGGCAAGTCAACACCCTTGAACCTGCCTTGCCTATGCCTTTGCCTATGCCTATGCTTCTGGCTTCTCTTGCAGTCTTGCTGACCTGGAACTTTGCCGTTCGTGCGTCCATGTCCGGAAAACCGTACATTTGCCAAGGGGAGACTTACATGGGATAGACGAGGGGTTTTTGGCCACAGCCCTAGCCTCGCACGTCGTCGCCCTGTGTTTCGCGAAAATGGAGGTATGGCTGGCACGGCTGGCTGTTGGATGGATGGTGTGGCGTGGTGTACACTGTAAGGTAGGTTGCCAGCCGAGTGGTGATTAATGTTGTCTTTCACGGGCGAAGGCGGTGGTAGCATCTGGTCGACGGTTTCAAACAAGACTCAGATCATTATGCCACAATGCTGATCAGGTCACCAGAGGTCGGTTCTCCCATCTTTCGAGGGCGAAAGCGAGAGCGGGAAGGCTTCAACACCAAGCCTCAAGATCGAGACTGTGGACGAACCACGGCAAGAGGGGACCCTTCGTTCCTTTCGAAATTGATGCATCTTCCATGCTAGCGGGCTCCCTCCTCAGACTACCACGCTACCAGGCTAGGATAGATATATCGCCACGCGGAGGGGAAGCCGAAAACATTGAGTAAGAGGGCTCGAAGGAAACGCCGGACTCTCGAACACATCCTCTACCGTGCCCATGATCATCAAAAGATCCACCCGGCAGACAAGACACTGGGAAGCGAATCCACGGAACCGAAAGGTCGTCCAGTCAGTCAAAGTGGAAACATCAGACGGGGGGGGATCTGCCTCTGTCAAATGCCACAGACACTGTCACACACGTAGTGTAAAGGTAAGATAGTGTGTGGTCAGCGCTTAGACTTATAACACCCACGAAACGACTGGTCGTCGACGATAGACGCGCTCCCGTAGCTCCCGTCCACCTCCCCAGGCACAGACGCGTACCTTTCGCGTCTCTGGCGAATCATGGCGAGGCTTGTCGTCGGCTGCATGACCAGCCTCCAGGGTTTGGGACCAATGGGGTGTCATGTTGACGGACGTTTGACGTGCCGGTGGAGTTTTTGACCTCAGAGAGTGGAGACATGGCCCGTGAGATCCAGATAGACTTAGAGTTTTGGCGTGGGATAGAGTTCTTATCGATAGCGCTTCTCCCACAATAAGGTAGCTTTTACCTTTTTGGCTTTTGGAGAGAAACGAAAGAAAAGACCACCCATGACATGCAAGCTCCTGCTGCTGCGCCCGGGGCTGGCTCGGACGATGGGGCCGGCGACTGGGAACCGGGAATGGGAATATCCAGTCATGGGTACGATAGTAACACCGGACAGGACAGGCCCAGAAAGCCACACAGATCAAAAAGACCACCAAGAGAACCAGCAGGTATCCTGCCATGACCTGCAAAGGCCCGCACCAGATAGACACAAGGCAGTCTCATCCTCGGGACGCTCTCAACCACTGGCACGACTTGAAACAAAGTCCTTGGCGGTCGGGGGATACCCTCAGAACTCAGGAGAGAGAGAGGGCTTCTGCTCTGCTTGCGTTTCTGCATTTCTCTGCAGAGCTAATGCAACTCCCTTCCCCTCATGGCCTCTTTGGACTCTTTTCTGACTAGAGGTACCAAGCCCAGATGGCATATTCGTCTCGTCTCCATCTCTCATCCTGCTACCTTGGACTAACGTGGTCGTCCCACGCGAAGAGTGACAAACGCACAACCAATCACACGACCGCAACACGTCGCCAGCTCGCCATTTCTGGACACTCTTCCTACAAAACCTTGAACCGCATCGGGTGTGTGTGGTTGTGTTGGTGGTGGTGGTGTGGCACGAGCTTTACACGCTTAGCACACGTCCCCCGAATCCACAACCACAACCAGCATCCACGCCCACACCTTCTCTCGAATTCCCCATCTTTACCATAGTAGGGACGTGTCTCCCATCCCGCGCGCCCGGGGTCCATGTCTCTCTCTTTCTGGTAAGTCCACAACGTCTCCATACTGCGTACACAACAACCGCGTGGAACCTCCATGGGAACTGGTAAAAAAAAAAAAGAGAGGCTACACTAGTCTTGCATATGCAGGTCTCGACAGAGGTGACTCACCCGCCAGTCGTTCCCACCGAGGAGCTACGGGACGATGCGGCCAAGGGGTGGGGTTTTTTTTGAGCGAGGGGAGGAGGCTGGCTCCGCCGGTTTACATTCAATCTTTTTTTTTTTCGCATGTGTAGGTGTAGCTATAGCTTAGGTGTATGGAGTACATTTTCAAACCTTGCTCGATGGGATATCCAGCAAAAAAGACTGAAAATAGTGTGTGTGTGGTGTCCTCGCAATCAGTCCCCCCATGTAAGTGAGAAGAGGGAGAGGGTATATTTGCCTCACCCTCCCACCACCCAGATTTCGTTTGGCCTGATTTTCGAGACCTGCTTTTCCTCTATCTTTCATTGTTTCCAATCTTGATATCCTCCCGTCTTCACTTGTTTCATAAGACGACGACGACAGCTCATACATATAACCTTGGCTTATATACCGAGGTATCATCCTAAACTGGTATTACTGTGAGAAAAGAGGTTGTGAATAACCTCATTGGCCCATTTGAAGAAAGAGAATCTGTTTCAGAAAAAGAAAAGAGAAGAAAGAAAGAAGACCGATTCTTGATATACTCCCCATCATCCAGTCTCTCGAAAAGAATCGTACTGCTCGACCTACCTACCTCACCTTACCTGATACCCACCATACAAATACTTTCGGTGTTGAACCAAAGTCGGACTCCATTTGCTTTGGTATATCCCACAACCAACATCACACCTACCAACACCATCCACCAATATCGACTTGTCGAGTAACCAAACCCCCAGCCTGGAGTCCACAACGACATGAGAAGACAATGGCCGCCCACCAGACCCCGTTCTACTGCCTCTGGCAGAAGGAACACGCCCACCTAGGCGCCGCAGTCCTCGACCTCCTCCCAAAACGCGACATCGCCGCCCTCCGCCTCGCAAGCCCAGCCTGCTGCAACATCGCCACGAAACCCCTCTTCAAGCGCGTCCGCGTCACATTCTCCGCAAACACCTTTACCAAGCAATCCCGCATCCAGGCCCTCGCCCGCGTAGGCCACCACATCGAACACCTCCACTTCCACTTCGCCCACACGGACGCGACCTTCCTCCCGCCCCTGGCGCACCCGACCACCGGCCGCGAGATCTCCTTCCTCTACACCCCGCACACGAGCATGGCCTCCGTCCTCGCCAGGCCCAAATACGCAAACACGGAGCTCGGCGAGATCCTCACGCAGCAGTACCCGCCCCTCTTCCACGCCGCCACGAACGTCCCCAGCTTCATCAACGCCCTGCGCTTCCTCACAAACATCCGCCACCTCACCATCCGCTGCCCGGGCCAGGACCCGCAGGAGCGCTACCGCCGCGACATTGTCGACTACGCCATCATGTCCCTCCGCATCGCCGTCGAGCGCGCGCCCCTCGAACGCCTCGAGAAGCTCTCCCTGTCCGGCATGCACCCCTCCTCCTTCAACTACCTCCGCCACGTCCCCGGCTTCGGCGCCGTTCCCTCCGCGGGCCGCCGCTGGAAGCAGATCCGCAAGCTCAACATCTCCGTCGAGGCCTGGGACTTTTACGGGCCCTCGCCGGGACTGGACCACCTCAAGATCATGGACGACTACATCCGCCAGTTCTCCGGCACCCTTGAGAAGCTTCACTTCACCTGGCTCGGCCCCAAGGGCCCTTGCCCCATCGCCCTCTCCGCGGACCCCCTTTTCGCGCCGCCCAAACACAGCAAGAAGCTCTTCGCGGAGGTGACGTCGCCCATGTCGCCCTTGCCGCCGGCGCCGGCCCGGAAGCCGATGCACTTCCCCCGCCTGCGGTACATGCAGGTCCGCAACGCCACCATGACGGCCGCCCAGCTCTCCGACCTGGTCGACGCGCACCAAAAGACAGTAAAGGAGTTCGACTTTGACAATGTCGTGCTCATCAACGGCGGCGACTGGGACGAGGCCCTCGCGCCGCTCATGGAGAAGAACCACCCATCATCATCATCATCTTCATCCGGCCATGGCCACGGCAGCGGCAGCGAAATCTGGTCCCAGCACTCGCGGAGCAACTCCGAGGCCGGTAGCTTGCACTCGGACCCGGAGCCATACCACGATGATGACCTACCATCGCCGTCCGCCGCGGCGGCCGCTGCCACTCGAGAACTACTCGACTTTGACCTCGGCAGCGAATTATACGTTGACGAAGAACTATTCGATCCATATGACGGCCTCGACGAGGATCTGGCTTCAGACCTCGCGGCCGCGAAGGAGGCCAGCACCTCCTTCAGCACAGTACTAAAGAAGAAGCGTGTCCACCGGCGCAGAAAGCACCGCAAGGACGACGGCGACAAGAACAACAACAAGGAGAGTAGCAGCTCAAAGGAGAGCCCATCGCGGCACCACAGAAGCCGCAAACACAAACATCACAGGGAGCAACCATCCGTCCCAGAAGAGGACGACGTCTTCCGCCCTTCGACACCGGTGCCCATTATCACGGCGCCGATTCAGGACATGTCCCCGCACCCGGTTCTGCTTCAGCCGGCTGTGTACGACCCGAACGCTAGTCGGCTTTCAGACCCCAACGATGGCATCTCTTCGGTGCAGCGCAACATTGAACAAGAGGAGGCGCACCGCTTGCTGGCCGAGGACGCGGCGATGCGGGTCAGCGCGCTCCGCAAGGCTAAGGCGGCGGTGCTGATGAAGCTCTCGAGGGAGTTCAACCACCGCAAGGGTTCGCCAGCACCAGTGGCGAACAAGGACAGCTGCGGACTGCAGATGCGGTTGAGAGAAGGGCTCTTTGGAAGGAGCTTCGTGAGCGTGCTACCAGACGATCGGTCCATGTCGAGCCAGTCGGCGCTGGTGCCGCTAATGTTTACGAGATCATGATCATGTATGCCCCAGACACACGATTCTGTATATCTGTTATGTAAGTCAGGAACACAAACACAGCACTGTGTATCCTCTTGTACGGACGGAACTTGGTTGGTCGGAAGGATATGGCGGGAAAACATGCCGGATATTGGCCTGGACAGGCCGGCGGCGACGACATGAGGCATTATGACTTGTAATGACTTGACGATATACTACTTTTCTTTCACTGTCAATTTTTCAAAAAGATAACAACATTTCAAACAAATCTTCCCTGCATTCGATTCGTGCGTAGGCTGCAGATGGAGCTCGTGATCGTCTCTACTGGAAAATGTTCCAACACCGTAAATCGCGGATGAGGCGGATGGATAAACAAAGCCGAGAGACGGGACCGAGGTGCGGAGACGGCGAATCAAGAGAGCAGCTCCGTGGCTCGGCGAGACTGGTTGAACGCGTTCGGTGAGAGAGTAGCGCCCGGCGGGCAGACTGGGAACAACCCAGCTGTGCTTTCGCTGGCTGGGCGCAGAGGTGGAGTAAACAACGGGACAGCGCGTGGTGGGTGGTAGGTGGCGGGCTGGGATTGAGATGTGAGATCTCGCTGTTCTGCTGCTGCTTTCAGACCATGTCCTTGTAGCGAAGCACAACACTGGTGCGGCGTGGTAGGGTCAGCCGACGGGTAGGGCAGTCTGGACTCTGTGGGTGAATAATATGGTCGTGAGACAGACGGTGAGAGCCTGTCTGTTACTCGTCCGCAAGACAGTGCCGCTGTGGCGGTTATGGTGATGTCGATGTGGACGTGTCTTCACGATGGCCGTGATTTCCACGATGGGCGACACTGCGGCAGCTACCAGCAGCAGGCAGCCAGCGGCCCGGGCTTTATGAATCCACTGACCTAGAAGTGGCAGCGCAGATGAGCTGACGCGAGCTCAAAGGAGAGCAGAAGCAAGCTGGCGGACGAGTTCGATGGTTTAGGGTTAGAGGGGTTTCCGTAAGCTCATTGAAGCCACGAGGGCCGTTTTCATCCGAGGCGTTGCAGAAGCAGCTTATCCCACAGCGTAGCCTCATCTCCGGGACATTTCTAGCATCTGGCCGGGGGGGGGGGGGTCCAGCGGCGATTCCTAGGGCA